TACCCATCACTTCAGCGTCCCCCACCTGCTGAGTGTTAAAATAGCACCTCTGTGTTCATGAGTTTTAAAAGAAGAGGCAGAGACCCCCCCCCCCCGATGTGGGAGAGTCAACAGGGTCCTGGTTCTTCATGTGCCCCCAACACCTCAGATTTCCTTAGCATGCCACCTGATTGTGCCCATGGGTCATCCCCCTCCGACTCTCAGGCGGCCTCCAAGGGCCAGCTCAGTGCCTTCCTTCAACAGCAAGCTTGCTCTGTCAAAGTCCTGCTGCCTGGTCCTCAGCAATGCGTAGCTTCATCTCTCCACTTACCCAACGATTGTGACTTCACTGCAAATGTTAAGTAAATTTGGACGCAAGAAACTCTTAAGCTTGTTTCCAGCTGTAAATTCCCTATCTGTGAGACTAAACTCTACATACGCAATCACATTCAGGCTCTTGATTGTTAGTGTAATTGATGGCATATAACAACAACAACAAGTGTAAGTATAGGAGCTGGCACCGTGGCCACGGGCCCAGCTGCAAAGTGCACAGTCAGTGGTTCAAACCCACCAGCTGCTCGGTGGAGAGCGCTGGGGCAGCCTGCTTCCATTGAGGTTTACAGCTTCCAGACCTGGTGAGAGGCCCTGGGGACAGGTCGGTGTGAGGGAGGTGTTTGGGGCTTGTTGTTTAGTTTAGAGCTGATTAAGCTTCAGAAGACACTCGATTGTCCAGATGGTGAGAGCAGGTGACTGAGGGATGGACGGTGGTCACGGGATCCACTCTACAGACGATGAGGACTGATGCCCTGGGGTAGGTTACTCCACGCTGCTGTACTGCATAACTGGTTTGTAGAATCTCAGCTCTACACTTCTCTGCTGTTATTTTGCAATGAAAATACATGCCCTCTAACCAGTGGATGACCTTGAAGACAGGTTTGACCAAGTCCTCTTTGCCATTCCACTTATTTAATAAATGTCTCCATCATGACAGTAGAAACTAACCCTTGCAGCTTTATCTGGATGGAGGAACCCAATAACACAAAGCCACGAGTGGAGGAAGTTGCAGCAAGGAACTACTTCTCATTGACTTCTAAGTGTCCTTGTGGGTTTCTCACAGAAAAGAGGAAAGTCATAGAAAGTGGAAACAAGTGCCCTAGGGAGGGATTCTCTCCTGTGTATTAACTGTGACGACAGCAGGGGCACTACTCAGCCGAGTCCCAGCCACCTGTTCCCAAGGCACCAAAGCAGACACAAACAGCTCTCCTGTGCCCAGGAGCTGGCAGAGCAGACGAGGCTGCTGGGGCCAAAACAAGCTTTCCTGGGCAGAGGGAGCCAGTGGACTCTGCTTCCCAGCAGCATCCCACCATCCCTTCACCTCCCTGAGCCAAGGAGGCACCATCAGCAACACTTCCCCCCACCATCCATTTACAGCCTTTACAGATAAGAGGAGGATGTGTCTAAACAAGCATACCAGCTCCCAAGTTGATTCTAACTCCCTGTGTGTCGATGTAGAACAGCACCCCAGAGGGGTTTTAGTGGCTGGACTTTTAGTAGATCACCAGGCCTTTCTTCCAAGGCACTGGAAGTGAACGCAAGGTACCAAACTTCGGGTTAAGATCTGAGCCCTTGACCATGTGCACCACTCCAGGTCACCCACCCTTGATCATGTGTCCCAATCCAGGTCACCTCATCCTTGACATCCAGGTGATCTCACCCTTGACCTTGTGCCCCACTCCAGGCCACCCCAACCTTGACCATGTACTCCACTCCAGGTCACCGCACCCTTGACCATGTGTCCCATTCCAGGCCACCCCAACCTTGACCATGTACTCCACTCCAGGTCACCCCATCCTTGAACTTTTGCCCCACTCCAGGTCACCCCATCCTTGACCATGTGCCCCACTCCAGGTCTCCTCAAGTGCACGAAGCAGGCCCCTCATGTGAGAGTCAGGGAGGAGTGGACACAGGCATTCGACCTTCCCAGAAGCCATTCATTTAGACCCATGTGTCAGCCTGCCAGTTACACACAAGACAGGCCTGAGAGTTTACAGCACTCGTTTTCCGAGACCTGTTGAGAAGCAGCTTTCTGCCTGGATTCGAGGGAACACAAGCACCTCTGTAGCTAACACAACATCCACGGCCCACTTGCTTTGACTGTGAGTGGCTTTATTCGCGTCTCCACAGACAATGTGCTCTCGGTGTGCACTCATGTAAGGTCTCTGTGTCCTGTTTTGGTGTTCTTTCAAACATTTTATACTTTTCCTCATACGATCGGTAGAGCGTTGGTGCACCTTTTAGAGGTCCTGCTGCTGCTATGTGTGGCCGAGTCAGCACTGGCTCACAGCTCCAGCAGGTGTTCAGAGGCAGTAAATCACACAGGAGGGAGAGTGTCCATCCTTCTCCCTCAGAGCAGCTGGCGGATTTGAACTGTGTGCCTTTGGGATTGCAGTGCAGCTTCTTACCACTAGGCCACCAGAGCTCCCTTCCTAGGCACTAGGGGAACCAAAGAAATGGCGTGGCTGCTTTGCTGTGATATTGCCTTTATTGCGGTGATCCAGAAGGAACCGGACATGCTCTCCCCCGGGTCTGCCTGACTTTATAAAACAAGAAAGGCCACCCTGGTGCGCTGTGTGGCGGTGTGCCACTGTGATCGGCAGAATGCTTGAGGAGACACGAGGGCAGGTGACAGGGAGGAGGTGGCATTAGGGATCATCAGGAGCTGGGGGTCATGGTGGGGGAGTGGGCAGTCAGGAGTTCTAGAACCTTCCCCCATTGGAAACCTGCCCTAGGATGAAAAGACAAGCCCTCCTCTCAATGGGAGAGCAGCTTGTCTGGCCTTTCCAGAGGGACCTTGGTTTGGGATCAAAATAATCCTGGGGGGGGGGGGAATAATCCTGGGAGACTGTCCTCTGTGTATCCCAGCCACCACCCAGCCGCCACCACAAAGAGCCTCCCCACCCACCTCCTCTCTCCCTCAAGCAGCACATCCCTTGTGTGATGAAGTGTAGATTTCAGATGTGACTGCTGTCACAGACAACAAAGCCCCCTACATCTGGAGGAAGTGACCCAAGACCAGTCGAGGCAAGCTGCCTCTTTCTTTACCCAACCCCCACCCCCCAACAGCAAAACAGCTTTTGTTTCTCCCCAAAGTCACAGAAGGCTAGAGAGAGAGAGCAGGGTGGCATCCGGGCTGGCGGCATCCCCTGAGCGCTCCTGGACTCCCGGTCAGCAGTCAGCCCACCTGTTCAGGTGATGACCGTGGGTCCCCTCCGGCCGGTTCGCTCGTGGATCTGGGATATCTTCAGTGCGATGGCTATGAGTGGACTCAGCACAGCCTGGAGGAGAAGAAAGCAAGCCCTTGGGTCTGGGAGCAGCTCAGGGGAGTCCGGGGAGGGGGGCACTGTGCACGGGGAGGGCTTTCTGAGTCAGATACCACCCCCCCACCCCCCCGCAAAGTCAGCACAGTGGGTCACCTGGCTCCTCAGCACTTTGGCTCCCTCCTCCGTTAAAGGAGAGTGGAGGGGGCGGGGCAGGATGGGGTGATGGTCTCCAAAGTCTCTGCTCCTGCTCCTTGTTATGTGACAGGGAGTCAGAACGACTCGGTTGACTCACCAGCAGGGTTTCAGAGGCTGTAAACGGCATAGGAGGAGAATGTGCATCTTTCTCCTTTACAGCCGCTGGTGGATTCGAACCACCTGCATTTGAGTTGGCAGTACAGCTCCTTACCAACGAGGCCATCAGAGCTCCCTCAAAGTCCCAATTATTTCCTCTAAGATGGGGAAATGGACAAGCCAACCACCGTGCATCCCAAACAGAGTATTTAGATGTAAGACGTTCAGAAAACCCTGCAATGTTTCCCTCTGCTACACACGTACACACACATACGCGCATGTGCACACACACAGTGAGGACATGGGCATGACTGGCAGGATTAGCTTCAGCTGGCAAACACGCTGGGAGCCAGAACTCTCACGACGGTTTAGATGGTGCTGTCAGGTGGACACAGCTCATGGTGCCCCTGGGGAGGACAGGTCTGAGTGTCGCCCTGTCTGGTGCCGTCCTCGCCGTCTGTCCCTCATGCTCGAGCTGAGGACTGAGCGTCGCCCTGTCTGGTGTGTCCTCGCCATCTGTCCCTCATGCTCGAGCTCTCTGTACTGTCCGCCGTCGTGCGGAGGGTCTCCCTCTCTTTCTGTCCTTTCCCCAGGACTAGCCCTCCTGACCACACGCCCCACATATGGGAGATGCAGTCCCAGCACCCTCACCTCTAAGAGCTCTCTGGCTGCCCCTGGGATAGTCAGTACTCTTCTCCAACACAGACGTGGCCAAAACCAAACAAACGCAGCAAATTCCGACTCGCATCAAGCCTGCAGGGGGAGGAGGGCCACACCACGGGACTCCCCCTGAGTCTGTGACCCCGACCACACAGCTTTCTCCCAGGGAGCAGCAGGTGGGCTTAGACCAAGCTGGCAGCTGGCAGCTCAGTGTAATACTTTAACTACACCTCCACCAGGGCTCCTCTTAGGAATGTGAACTCCTTATAAACCAGTGAGCAAATCCATCTGCTTCCCCTCTTCTTCAACCTTCCTGATTTCATCAAAGAGAAACTCCACTTGCTGCCAATCTCAGACGCTTTTACCAAGACAGAACATGCCTCAGGCAAGAGTTACATAGCAGAGCTAGAATGTCAGTGGCGTCTTTTAATTGAAGGGATTTGTATGGTGAACTTATGTTTATCAAGTAATACTGACTTTTTCCATGTAGAACATGGATTAAAATATTTTCATAATAACTACATAGACTCATGTAAAAATCAAGTAAGTCCATTTAAAGACAAGCCCCGAGCAGTGATCCTGATAGAAAACACGTTTGGAAAAAGCTGGAGTAAGTCAGGAAACCAGGACCCCATACTTCCTCCTTCTTGTTTGTGGAGGAAGATTCTATTACCTGCAGCCCCCACCTGCTCTTAACAGATAGCCCTTGAGGGGCCCCAGGTGAACAAGGAGAACACAGGTTCAGAGTAGAAGAAAGCACACGTAGTCTGACCACACAGTCCACGGGGAGCTGCACTGCTAACCCAGGGCTGATGCTTCTCCGCAAGTTCAAGTTCACCAGCAGCTCTCCTAGAGAGAGACGGGCATTCTCCCGTGTGATTTATAGCTTTCAAAAAGGCACCGAATTTCAGCTATAGAGCAGGTTCTGACTTAATGGCAAAGCGGGGGAGGGAGTGAGGAGGGAAGCAGAATAAACAGACAGCTAAGCACATAACAAACACAGTGAATCCTTCAACTTCCTTTAAAAACCTAACGAATCAGAAGACACTTCATTGAACGCACACACAGTAAGTTTAACGAGAACACACATCTTCCTAGTGCTGTAAACAAACCCTCTTTCTAGTACCCCTCCCCTCTTTGGGAGCTCTGGTGGCCTAATGGTAAAGAGCCGCTTTCCAAACTAAAGGCACACGGTTCATATACACCACCTGCTTTATGGGAGAAAGATGGGCAATTTACAGCCTCTGAAAACCTGCTGGAGAGTCAGCTGTGGGTGGGTTACAACCCGATGGCAAACGACAACAGTACTGCTAGTGTTGAAATGTCTAGAAAACTCAAATGTGTTGCTGTTGAGGTGGAACCAACTCCCAGCTGGCCTTCCACTGAGTTCCCAAGGCTTTTAATGGCCCAGGGGAAACTTCCCATCTTTCTCCCAAGCAGCTGCTGGGCTGAACCATCGGAGACACCAACTTTGCGTGAGATGCGCAGCTTCCTACAGACAACACCATGAGAACAACACAAATATAACACAGTGCATTCCAGATTCTGCACCCATTCCTTCCTGTCCTGAAAAAAAGAAATACACTAATGGCATAGAAACTTTCAGAAGCTGAAGTTATCTCCTCTAGAGGCCCCATAAGTAACATAAATATGATCCTGCTTTGTGGAATAAGTATTCTTCTAATGATGAAAATTTTTGGACTGAAAGAGGCCAATGATTGTGACTGTGGCGTCCAGTGGGACAGCGCTAAGGGAAGCCTGGTGGACCGCCGACCAAGAAGAGGACAATTCCAGTGCCCCAGCTGTGCTGAAAGACAGGCTGGTAGTCATGTGACTCAGTCACATGATTTTATTAACCCAAGGAGGACCACCTGCTGATGACCACAGGTAGCATCTTGGGTCCCCAAGGTTCTCTCAAGCCAGCATCTCATTTCTCTGTCTCACTAGGAAGCCAAACCTCATGCCTGGGGCCTAGCCGGAAGTGTCACCTCCCTGGCTCCAAGGCCACTGAGACAGGGATGAGGATGGACTGGGTGGTGTTTGCCACAGCAAAGCCTCCTGGCAGTCTTGCTGGAGCCAGGGACCAGGAGCCAGGGATAGAGCCATGGACCAGGCCAGGCACACTACTGGGCCATGCGTGCCGTGATGGCATCTGGCTGCCGGGCTCCAGTGCCAGCCTGCGGTGCCTGCCACTGTCACTGGTGGAGGACAGGCCTGAGGACCCCTGTTGAGTGGTGACACCTCCGGACCTCATTAGTGCTGATTTGCAGATGCATCCCTAGAAGACAGCTTAGTGACAGCACGTGGACAGGCAGAGCATGGCCTTGAGATTGGATCCTAATTACTGGTCCACAGGGCAGAGCGCCAGCCGCAGATTCCGTGTGAGACCTGCTTTGATGCCTGCAAAGTGGACAGTGCAACTGCTGTGCTTTAATCTGAGCCGGTACAGTTGGGAGGTGCAGCTGGGCTCATAGTGACCAGAGCTACACGGGGCAACACCCCACCAGGCCTTCACCGTCCTCTGACCCTGGGGCCTGAGCCCCTGCTGCAGCCACGGGCCGCCCGTTTGTTGAGGGCCTTCCTTTGCTTCTCTGACCCTCCATTTTCCAAGTATGATGACCTTCCCCAGAGACCGGCCCTTCCTGACAGCCACGCGCGTGAGAAGAAGCCTCTCAGGAACGCTCCGGCTGCCCTGCTTCCAAGACCTGTTCTTTTCTGGCCATCCATGGTCAGCACCCGTCCCCAACACCACACTTGAAAGACACTGACTCCTCTTCAGTCTTCCTTCCCAGTTGTCTAGCTGGGACGTGCACATGAAATGACTGACAACAGTGTGACTTGAGATCCGTGAAAAGTGCAAGACCCATCATGGGCGGGGGGCAGTGCAGTGGCTGTAACCAGAGACCCAGACATGACGTGTGGGGCTGGGCAGTGTCTCCCTCTGCCACACACGGGGTCCTCGCCAGCCGGAGCCCAACAACAGCACCTGAGGACACCCCGACATTCTCACCTCATTATTCAACACTTGGGACTCTGGGGGGTCCAGTGGTAAGAAGCTGCCCTGCAATCCTAATTGCACCCGGTTCAAATCCATCTGCTGCTCCACAGGAGAAGGGCAGGCAGTCTCCTCCTGTGCAACTGACTGCCTCTGAAAGGCCGCTGGAGGGTCAGCTCTGAACCTTTGTAACTCAATGGCCCACAACAATAACAACAACACTCAACAGTTAGTCCTAAGTGAGTGATTGATTAATCATCTTCAGCCATCCATCACTTCACCTCCTCTCCACAGTCAGCACCCCCCAGCGACCACCCAGCTCCCCAGCTTATAATGCTCTTGGGTTATTAGCACCGAGCAGTGCTTTGTTCTGCTGTAGGTGGGGTCACTGTGAATCAGCATTGACTCAACAGCCCCTGAACAACAACAACAAAAATAACACCACCACCACCACACCCTTGCTACTAAACAGACAGTCACAGAGCACCTGCTATACTCTACCCCGAGGACAGTCCCAAATCTCTTCCATAGTCTGTGAGGGATGTTCTGGTATCCCCACTTCATAGATTGGGAAACTGAGGCTCAGCGTCAGTATGCAATGCTCTGAAAGCTTTATGAGAGGAAACGGCAGAGGCCAAGGCAGCCAGGGCGGCACATCTCACTGCAAAGCCCGCTGGGTCCCGCTGTGCACGCAGCTGCTGTGAGTCCTGCGTCTGCTCTCAACACACGGAATCACCAAGCATCACAGACAGGAATGCTGCCGATCCTGCATGATCCCTGCAACCAGCGGCAGACCGGGCTGCTGTCAAGGGTCGGCCCTGGATTATCAAGCCTTGTGCCAAGTCCATGTCCATTTCCTATCAAACAGAGAAAGGGAACACTGTGTGGTTTAGAGTCAGAAAAGGCGTGCATCGGGGTTATAGCCTCCTTCCAGGCCTGTTCAATGTGTTCGCTGGACAAATCAGCCAAAAAACTGGACTTGATGAAGAAGGATTGGAGGAAGACTCCTTCACAGCCTGCATTATGTTAATGACACAACCTCCCTTGCACAGAGTGATGAAAATATAAT